ATTTTTCACTAAAGGGGAGGGGGTAAAAATTTAGCCATTGGACATATGCTTTTAATTTGCTTAAGACTGAGGCTAAGCTTATTTTGAAAAAAGAAAATACTTTTCTGCAACAGTCGTCTTTTTTCCACCTGTGTAGTCTTGACTGGGTGATAAGATCTATTTGCCATGGGACTGAAAAACTTAACTTTCCCTGACAAGATTTCCATAAATGGCGGTCAAAGAATAATTAAAAAGAATTCCAGTTCTTTGCCGTGTTCCGGGGGGACAGGTAGGTAGAATTCCATTTTGCGAGTCATAAAATGGTGAGGGGGGAACAAAATTGGGATTTTGCTCCCAATTTCCCAGATACGGTTGCGGGGTGGAACGGACATCATAGGCTGTTTAAAATGGGTGTTTGGCGGCGGGGTGGGTGACCTCCGCTTTGTCCTTGAAATGCCCGAGTCAGCAGCGGGGTTCCCGCGTGCACAGCGATCCGCTGGGGGTCCCACTACCCCCACCAGCCCCACTAACACCATCCCTGATGTCCTTTTCCCATCCCTGCCAAGTGTAGCCACACACCTCACTATCACTACCTAAAACGGGGAGGGCCACGGATTTACTCCGGGGTGTACTCCGTCCCCTGGGGCCCGCATAGGGACACTACCCACGCAGCGGCGGCGGACAACCGGCCCCTTTACTGGTAAATGTTTCCTCCCCTATCACTACTCGAATGATCGTCGAGCGCAATAAAAAAACAAACCCACGTCCGAACATCGTCATTACTGAAGTCAGAGGCCAGCCCACGGGAAAATATTAATTTTCTCTTACTTTAGGAAACACCCGACGGTGAGTCACGATGCCCACACCAGAGGGGAAATTTGAGGGCGTCGGGGGTTTTTTCACTTTATCGATATCCTGGTCATTATTTTTGGTCACTAACTTATCAAAACCGTAGAATTTTCTTCATTTCCACTTCCACAGTGTCAAACTACAGAAGGAAGAGGAGAGTCCCAAATTTTTCCGGGAGGGAGAGCGCTTGCACGAGGCAGGTGAACAAGGGTACTGAGCCGGGGTTCCCCCCAAAGCTTGCAGAGGCGCCAAGATATTTTTGTTTACGGCGCACTACACGGCGCTAGACCATTCTCTCATAAGTAAGTGCCTATGAGCGCTTTCCCGCGCTAATTGTGACGGCGCTAGAATTTTGGCGTAGATCTACGGTTTGGACCACTCACCTAGACCAGCCGTAGATCTACGGACGGACACTGAAAGCGGGGTTAAATTATAGCACCAACCAACCTCTCCAAAACTATATCCCTCCTGCTTTTACATTCGTCTTTATCCTATCAATCCCAGCTGCTACCACCTTTCATTTCTACCCACTGCCGTCGACGAACTTCCCCCACACTCACATTAAAATATAATCAAAAGAAGCGCTAAGCCACAAGGGCTATACAGCGCTGCTCCCACACTCACAACTGTTTCTTCCTCACTTCTACAAGATGTTATTCCTCCTTGCCCTATACACGAAATCACAGCTCCCAATCTTCATCAACATTTAAACAATTCCTCAAAATATTCCCTCCATCTTCCCAATACCTCTAACTCTCCATTTAATAATCTCCTCTCCTATTTTTTACTGTCAAATCCATTTGTTCCCTAGGCTTCCTCAACTTATTAATCTCGCTCCAAAACTTTTTCTTATTTTCAACAAAATTTATTGAGAACATCTCACCCACTCTATCATTTGCTCTCTTTTTACATTGCTTCACCACTCTCTTTAATCTATCTTTTTCTCTCCATATACTCTTCCCTCCTTGCATCACTCTACCTTGTAAAAACCTCTCATATGCTAACTTTTCTCCCTTACTAATCTCTGTTACCTCATCATTTTCCACAGTTTGCTCTTCTTCCCTACTCTGCACCCACTTTCCTGTGAACCACAACCTCTCTGAACACTCTGACACTACAGTCCTTAAACTACACCATACATCCTTCGACCTCCATTGCCTATACTCTCACTAGCCCATCTATCCTCCAATAGTTGTTTATATCTTACCCTAGCTGCCTCCTCTTTTAGTTTATACACCTTCACCTCCCTCTTACTTGCTACTTCTATTTTCCTTGTATCCCATCTCCCTTTTACTCTCACTGTAGCTACAACTAGAAAGTGATCTGATATATCTGTGGCCCCTCTATAAACATGTACATCCTGAAGTCTACTCAACAGTCTTTTATCTACCAATACATAGTCCAACAAACTGTCATTACGCCCTACATCATACCTTGTATACTTATTTATCCTCTTTTTCCTAAAATACGTTTTACTTATAACTAAACCCCTTTCTATACAAAGTTCAATCAATGGGCTCCCATTATCATTTACACCAGGCACCCCAAACTTACCTACCACACACTCTCGTAAATGTTTCCCCTACTTTAGCATTTAGGTCTCCTACCACACACACACTCACTTGGTTCTAAGGTTCCTATACATTCGCTTAACATCTCCTAAAATTTCTCTCTCCTCTATGCTCCTCTCTTCTCCAGGTACATACACGCTTATTATGACCCACTTTTCACATCCGACCCTTATTTTAATCAACATAATCCTTGAATTTACATATTTATATTCCCTCTTCTCCTTCCACAACTGGTCCTTCAACATTATTGCTACCCCTTCCTCAGCTCTAACTCTCTCAGATACTCCTGACTTAATTCCATTTATTTCTCCCCACTGAAACCCACCTACCCCCTTCAGCTTTGTTTCGCTTAGGGCCAGGACATCCAACTTCTTTTCATTCATAACATCAGCAATCATTTCTTTCTTATCATCCGCACTACATCCATGCACATTCAAGCACCCCAGTTTTACAAAGTTTTTCTTCTTCTCATTCTCTTCAATTAAAAAAAACTTTTTTTAATTAAAGAGGGCAATTTTTTGTGTTATAAGACCAAAAAAAAAAAACTTAGGACAGTACTTACTGAGATATAGGACCGTGAAGTTAGCGCAGGATGCTCACTTGATAGCAACATCGAGTCCTGCCACTTGCAGAAGTGTTGCTGATATACCTTTTTTTTCTCGTTTTTAATTTATATATTTTTTGTATTCTGATGATTGCAATTTATAATAGTTCTTGTGATTTCATAGCCAATCTTTGTTCTGACACTAATATTAAATACTGAAATAGTACTCAAATAGTCATAATCACACTGACAGGTGTACATTTTCATCTGCCTTGGTCATTTACTATTGTCTAGAAATATATACAAAGTATTAATAAGTCTCAGCAATGTTTTAGATATTCTGGAATATATATGAAACTTCTTGAAGCATGGTGTTTATGCCGAGTGTCACTAAACTGCTGACAGGGTAAGCAGTGGAGTGACACTTGATGATGACTGTTACACACAAACATGTATGTCTGTATCTGTATCTGTCTAGCTCGGCTTATCTGTTTTCCTGTCTGCGTCTTTCTGTCTGCCTGTGTGTGTGTCTTTCCGTCTGCTTGTCTCTCAGTCTTAGAGAGCAGCTCGTAACCCAACAGGTATTACATACGATGCAGTAGTCACATCTGATTCCTGATGAAGTGAAAATGTGTATTACTTGCCACTGAGTTGCCAGTCATGTCTTATAACTACAAGCACTGCAAAGGACTTTGCCTGGAATTTTTGGGTTATCCTAGGTAATTTACACTATGTATAATAACTGTACTTATGTGTACATGTGAGAGACAGAGATAGACAGAGATATAGACAGGGATATAGACAGATACAGAGAGACAGCCAATAGTATCAAAAATGAAAGGATGTTGCACAAATGTTACACATGGGTTATTATCGAGGGTTTTGATATTTCCTCGACCACTTGTGGCCACATCCATCACTTTACTCTTAAAAGGGGAGTGTTAATATGACATGACATCAGTGAATCCCTTGTGTTTGCCACGCTATTTGCTCTAGCTGGCGCTCCCACAAGGTACTAAGTGGTCCCAGATTTTTTTAATATTGCACACGAGTGTTAAGACCCTTTCTATACTGACCAGGCATCTCTGGCCAATCATGCCAAATTTGGAAGCAAGAAAAATAAAACGTAGATCTACGTTTGGAGCACTAGCGGTACAAACGTAGATCTACGTTTGGACAGTATAAGGGTTAAATATAGTAGATCAGTTAATAAAGTACAAAATTAACATGACTCCATGGGAAAATGGAGACGAATCCTTCCTTTGTAAGCCATGTGTGTCATAAGAGGTGACTAAAATACCAGGAGCAAGTAATCCCTTTGCCTGTAAAAATTATTAGATGTAAAAAGAAAACACTGCATTTCTTCTTTTTCAGGTCACCCTGGCTCAATGAGAGACAGCTGTTATTAAAAAAAAAATTAAATGCTAAACAAATTACTTGAAATTAGCAAATTGTGGTTACACTCAATAACAAAAATTTGTGTAGTGGCACCTTTTTTTATACTGTGATACCTTCCAGGCTGTAGTGTTAAAAACTAAGGCAACATTTGTGATACCATACTTTTTTATGTTGGCAGTCATAGGGCTGAAGAGGGGTTGTTGAGGTGGTTTGGTCATTTAGAGAGAATGGATCAAAGTAGAATGAGTTGGAGAGCGTATAAATCTGTAGGGGAAGAAAGGCTGGGTAGGGGTGGTCATCGAAAGGGTTGGAGAGAGGGGGTAAAGGAGGTTTTGTGGGCAAGGGGCTTGGACTTCCATCAAGCGTGCGTGAGCGTGTTAGATAGGAGTGAATGGAGACGAATGGTTTTTGGGATCTGACGAGCTCTCCAGGAGCTTTGTCAAGCAGGTTTGACAAAGTTGCTGGAGAGCAAAACATTGCCACAATAAAATGTTACATTAGTTACACTTGTGTTCTTTTATTTTACATGAGGTGAAAGTGTTGAATGATAAAATATTTTCTTTTTGGGGATTTTCTTTCTTTTTTGGGTCACCCTGCCTCGGTGGGAGATGACCAGTGTGTTAAAAAAATAATTTAGGCAAGTCACAAAATAAAACATATTAAAAATTATTGCACAATTATTATTATATCATGAGAATCTCTTAAATAAAGATTCACTGGTAGCTGGATTCTGCATCTCTATATACAAATATACAAGAAAATTAAACATGTACAAGAAATTTGCAGAAGCCTTGATATGTACACACTAATTTTTCCTACTAGCTTCTAAGATAAGACTCACAATATACTAAGTGATCTATGTTAAGTTTGTGCACTGTTGAGAGCCTGTTGAAGCATCTATTCAGCAGAAGCTTTAAAATCAAAATGTCAGATTTCTTGCCAAGATACAAAAATATATTGAATGTATAACCAGATATAATAGCAGCTAATGAACCATAAATATTTCTTGCCATTTATTTCACATAGCAATAGTGTACCATAAATTTTATACATGTAAATGGCAGCCTAATGCACTTATGGGTGTTATGGTGGTTAGGAAGACGAGTTAGTACTGTAACAAATTAGACTTGTATTAGTATATGTTGTTAGAAGGAATAACTAATACAAATTTGATATTATATAATAAATAAATAGGTGTATAATTCTATACAGTAAAAATATACTTGGGATTTTAATTAACTTATCTATTATTTAATAAATAAATACAATATTGAGCAGTACCCAATTTATATCAAACTATTTACTCTAAAAGGACCCAATAATTGTAATAACAGTTAATTTCAGGTAGAAATTTGAAGTAAAAACTTTAGATCAAATCAATCCATCATCAAACTCAATCTCTAACATTACATCTTGAAGTGTACTTTTTACTGCTTGTTTTTGGGCCCTTTAGACCAACCATAGCACAGCTTTCAGTCCAAGAATCTCACAATTTGTTATGAATATTTAAAACTGAAATGCACAAGCTTTTGTTCATTATTAGCAAGGTATAAAGTTAAACCCTAATAATATTTGCATTATTTAGAAACTACAATTTAAGAATGATCGGTACACTTTTCACATCCAATTCAGAATTTACAAATCACATACTCTTTTAATGTCTGATAGCAAGGTCCAGTGATAGTATTAGAAACAAATTTTATATTATGTAAACTATGACAGTCAAAAATCTTATAAAATATACAGTGGACCCCCGGTTATCGTAATTAATCCATTCCTGAGAGAGTAACTAAACCCCAATTTGATGATTTCCGAATTCATTTTCCCCATGAGAAATAACATAAATCCAATTAATCTGTTCCAGACACTCAAAAGTATTTAAAAAAAATATTTTTTTTACATGAAATATACATTTACCTACACAGAACGCAATGAGACATGCAGAATAAAACAATAATAAAATGACACTTACCTTTATTGAAGACTTGTTGATGTATGGAAGACAGAAGGGGAGAGGATGGAGGAGTTACTATTGTCTGGAAGGGGCATTCCCTTCCATAAAGACTTCAGGTACCAAGTCCTTTTCTGGGGTTACTTCCCTTCTTTGTGTTTTAATGCCACTAGGACCAGCTTGAGAGTCACTGGACCCCTGTCGCTCAAAAAAAGTGTTCCAGAGAGGTCTGTTTCTGGCATATGTTAGGAATTGTGGCAGTGGCAGGGAAGTGTTGGGAGACAGGACAAGATAGTCCTTCAATATGACACTAATATCAACTCTACAGCTTATCTAGTACAATTCATCTAATATGACATAATAAACAATATTAATAACAGAAACATGATATATACTCTAGAATGAATAAAATATATCATATGTCTCTCTCCCTAACCGAGGAGTGTTGTCGTGTTGTGTGTTGTTGGGTGTATAGGGGCCACTGAAAGATAAGCCTTACATAGTGGTGGTGAAGGAGGCAGCAAGAGGCGGCAGTGTTAGCCAGTAGCCCTATATACCTCCAACAACATTGGAGGAGTCAGTTTCATGCTGTCCTTTTTCTATTGATTAACTGCTTAACTTACTTGCTACACTTTATCACTGGCTGGTGCTATAGCCTTTGTCGACTCCTGCTGCTTTATTATCGTACAGAATCACTGAAGATGGCACATTCTCCCCTCTCTCTCAACCCTTTACCAAAAGGCTGGCTGGCACTAGGAACTGCCTTGGGGCCAATGGTGGCTTATTTAGTAGTTGCAAGCACTAAAAAGAATGGAATAATACGAAATGTATCGTATGAACGTGTGGGATCATGCTAACTGGCTGATAAACAATGGCACACTGAGTGTCAGGCCGCTGTTGTTGTGTAGACGCATTTGGGACGAATGACTATTACCGAGTTCAATGACAATCACCAAGCCAATATTTTGACGAAAAAAAGTTACGAAATCCGACGACTACGAAATCCAGGGGTCCACTGTATTGATCTTAACAAATGAATACCAGTGCCTTAGAATTCGAATTTTGCTTAACATGTCTGTTTTTAAAACAACTTCAGATGTTAGCACTGATAAATATTGGATTTTTATTCAGAAATTTTATATGTCAGCAGATTCAAACAATAAAAAAATTATTAAACAAGACCTGGTATTTTAAAAAGTACTAATCACAGTCTACCAAACTAAACAGATTTATACAAAATAGCAACCATATTTAATTACCAAAAAAGATTACTTGCTGAATCCTTTTTAATATTTAAAATTTAAATAAAATTTTTCTAATATAGTCAAGACAAACAACTGCTGAATACTTCCTGTACCACCAGGAAACCATTAATCTTTTCAATTTATAGAGCAGCTGATTACAAGACCTAATTCTCTATTGTCGTTCTCTTCAAAAGTTCCCTTCCTGGTAAAGAATGACTTTCTCTAGCTTCAAGTTTCCTTAGATGATGAGAGATTTACTGTATGAATGTATGCATGTATATTATATAATCATCTTCCACAGCAAAATGTCAAGCAACAATTCATTCACCACAAAACCAAATAAAATAAAAAGAAATAAATAAGATTAAACTGTTTAACTACGTTATCCAACAATTGTAATCCTTAAATTCCACCACCTTTAGCAGCTTTATCACCCAGTACATATTTTTTGTACATAAGATTCATCTGTTCAAGGAAGATGAAGGTGAGGACTGTGTGTGGACCCAGACGCATGTAGTATGGTGTGAAACCCTTCCACAAAGAGAAGAAGCCTTCATTCCGCACCACTTTGTATAGGACATCCAAAGCACCTCTGTATTCTGGCTTGCCATCAATAATTTTCATGTTCTGAATTCTGAAAAAAAAAAAAAATCTTTGTCAATATTAGAGATAACTTTCTGTATGTATAAATAAATATATGATGCATTTTAATCCCAGTCAAAATACAGCATATACTATAAAAAATAATTTGTTCAATCATCTTCTTTCAACAAACTGGCTGTTTCCCACTGAGGCAGGGTGGCCCCAAAAGAAAAACAAAAGTTTCTCCTTTAAACTTTAGTAATGCATACAGGAGAAGGGGTTAGTAGCCCCTTGCTCTTGGCATGTTAATCACCTCTTACAACACACATGGCTTATGGAGGAAGAATTCTGTTCCACTTTCCCATGGAGACAAGAGGGAATAAGCAAGAAACAGCAAGAAAATAGAAGAAAACCCAGAGGGGTGTGTGTATATATGCTTGTAAATGCATGTATAGTGTGACCTAAGTGTAAGTTGAAACAGCAAGAAATTTTGCATGTTTATGAGACAGAAAAAAAAGACACCAAATCCTACCATCATGTAAAACAATTACAGGCTTCCATTTTACACTTGTGCAAGACAGGTATACAATACCGACAAGATGAAAGTTAAGACACTTGTGCAACATCTGGTTATCCTTATTGTAGACGTTTCACCATCCAGTGGCTTTATCAATACAGATTCTTGGACATAATTAGAAAACAGAAGAACTATATACAAAAGATGAGGTAATCAGTCCCTCAGCCTTGGAGGTGGTGTTTAGAGCACCGTGGTTGTAGAGATTCTGAAGCACAGGCAAGGAGATTGGTGCTTATATAGGCGTCAGTGAATAGGGACGTGTAGCAGACACCTATATAAGTGCCAGTCTCCTTGCCTGTGCTTCAGAATCTCTACAACCACGGTGCTCTAAACACCATCTCCAAGGCTGAGGGACTGATTACCTCATCTTTTGTATATAGTTCCTCTGTTTTCTAATTATGTCCAAGAATCTGTATTGATAAAGCCACTGGATGGCGAAACGTCTACAATAAAGATACCCAGATGTTGCACAAGTGTCTTAACTTTCATTTTACACTTGGCAAGATAGTAGTGCCTCCCTGGGAGATTGCTGTCTATCAACCTACTACCTATATCTCTATTAAATAACCTATTTGCACTACAAATGACCCAGAGCCATACCAAGAGACTACACAGGTAATAACCTGTAATATACAATATTTGAATTAAAGGTAATTGAAGGGATTCAGGAAAACCAGTAAGCTGGACTCGAGTCCTGGAGGTAAAAAGTACAGTGCCTGCACTCTGGAGGAGGGGTGTTGATGTTGCAGCTTTTTAACTGTTGTGTAGGTGCACCTCTGGCAAGAGAGTGATGGAGTGAATGATGATGAAAGTGTTTCTTCCATTTTGGGTCACCCTGCCTTGGTGGGAAATAGCTGATGTGTTAATAAAAAATAAAATGAATTGCAGGATGCATCCCTAGCAGATACTGTGAACTTACTGTATATTTCTTAGAGAATAACATTCACTATTCTATGGATGAAATATATCACAAGCTTATGTAATGGAAATGAAAATTGGATAAATTGTGTACCAGTAGATTGTGAAATGATTTAATCTCTAAAATACACAAATCACTCGACCTGATATTTGCTCCTCTCCCACTGCCTTCACCTTATAAATGGCTGGCTTTTTTGTTTTTTAATAATTCTTATTTTAACGGTCCAGAATGAACCAGAATAACATCCATTTTTTCATTTAAAATTCTTGAGATACATATTTCTCCATTCTGAAATTTTTATATCAAATAAAATTACGTGAGTGCACATCAAAGAAAAATCTACTTAAAAATATAGAAGCTTTAATGATTAACAGCATTTCCACACTCTTCATACTCTTAAACTTGAGTGGGAATTTTACCCTAAAACTACTATAATGAAATAAATTCAATTCATTTTACAATAAAGGTAATGTCAACAACAAATTGAAACTCCCTAATATGAGCAGCATTTTGGGCAAACTTAACCTAGGGTTAAAGCTACTTAACTCTGAAGGTCTATGTAATTGTGAAGTTATGCGACCAGCATATTTCAGCAAACAATACAATCTTTGTTTTAGCTCAACTTTGAATTCAGCATGTTTCAAAGTTTTGGTTAATCTGTAAGGTTATTCCACATTTTTGGCCCTTCAATTTACATAGAATTTATGTAGCTGTTCAACTGAACACAAGGGATATCAAAACAAATATTAGTTTCTGGTGTGGTGCCTATGCTTTCTGTTATAATTTTCTAGGAACTGCCTGAGATCAACATTAATTTAGTACAGTTTATCAAACATTTGGACTGAACAATCCTCTTCAAGGGGGGCTCCTTGGCGTGGTGAAGAGGCTCTTGGTCTGAGGAATTAGCCCTGTCGGTCTTCTTCCTCAGACCGAACCTAATTACCCCCCATTCTCCCCTCCCCTATACCATCCTCCCCTTTTTTCATTCCTCCTCCTCCTCCTCACCCCTCCCTTTTGCCCTTCCTCTTTTTGGCCTTTGGGATTTCTCCCACAGGCGCGCTAGTTCCTAGGTAGGGGAAAAGGACAAACGGGGTCCATCTCCATTTCCGTGGAGGTTCTTGGCGGTGCGTATTTGCCGTGGAATCTGGATTGCCTGGGGATGTCCGATCCTTCTCCGGAATCCCGAGTGGGCTGAGGGTCTATATTCGGGCGACGGGTGAATCTCTGGAGCCACCCTTTCGGATTCCCGGGGTTGGTGGCCGAAGGAGGTATGCTTAGTGGTGGATATCCGGCCTGGGACCGCCCTCTCTTTTGTCAACCGGGCATAGTCGGGCAGATTGGGGTTTGCTATCATCTCCGGATTGCTTGGTTTACTGGCAAGAAATGGTAGGTATGGCCACGGTGTTCCATGCAGCAACTGCGCTTACTAGCGGGAGCTGATGTCCCTCTTGGGGGGCGCGGAAGGGAGATTTCCCGCCCTTTCAATTCCCTCCTGGGAACAATTCCTCCCCTCCCCGCTCCCCCCGCAAATTTTTATTTTTATTTTTAATTTCTTTTTCCCTCTTGTTTTTCTTAAAAAACAAAAAGGCAAAGGAGTAGCCTAACCATGGCAGCCCTAGTCCATGAACCCACTACCCCCTGGGCCCCTTCTTGATACCGCAAACCCCATTCTGGACCCTGCCTTGTGTTTAGAGACCACCTCTTCGGACACTTCCTGATGCCCCTGTACCTCTTGCTTGGTGCTGTTTCCTCACCCCGCTTCAGGTACCGGGCTTCGACTGACTTCCTTTCGATTTGTCTGAAACTCCGCTCTCCTTTACTATGCTTCGGCTCTCCCCCCTATTACGGCAAATTTTCGAATCGCCCCGCCCCTTTCACGCCGACCAACTTCCGCCCCTACTCCTATACGCCAACGTCAATCTCTTGATGATTGCCCTTCGTTACCTCCCATTTCACTCGTAAAAGACCGACACGTCCAAGCCACTTATTCCCATCCTTCTTCCCTCTCCCACGCTCAGTTTCGGGTGACCACCACAATTGGACTAAATTCCATTACTTCAAGACCGACTTCCTTCTTCTGCCCGACCCTTCTTCTGACCATATATTGGCAAAGCGCCTCCTGCGTCATGTTGGTAGAGATATTTCATTTCATTGGGAGCTCTCAACGAATCGCGGTATGGTGCATCGCACTGTCCAGAAAATGCGTAGACCCCAAGGCTCATGATCTTTCTCTCCTTTCGATATCGATAACTACTCCTATCACTATTGAAAAACATCTTTCTCATCAATCTTGAAGTGGTACTGTCATTCTGGCCCCATAAAAACCATAGTCCCAACAGAATTTCCAGTCATGTGGCAATTACATTTTTGAACAGCTTGGAACTTCCATGATCTCCAACCCCAATAAAGACACTTAGATCCTTCCTTCCCTGGGCGGAGACGTTTACCCTTACCTTGAATGTGGCTCGTTTAACTTTTGACAGCGAGAACTCCCTCCTCTGTATAAGTCGCGGGACAAATCGGTTACAATTTTGAAAGGTGATACCTACAACTGCAACATATGTAGAAAAACTGCGGCGTTTTGGTCCACCCAGCGAAATATTTGCAGAACTTTGGCCGAATGCCCAGTCTGTGGTGCCGACGACCATTCTAATACATTCTTGGCTGTACACCTCCATCGTTGGCCATTAATTGTAATGAAAGCTCACCTTCGTACTCCAGCGGTGCCAGGTCTACATAAAATGAACGGAAATCCGTTGCCTCTAGAGGCCGAAGGTCCTCCGCTTATGCAAGCAGTTACACATCTCTGCCTCCAATGGAGACTACCCCGTTTTATCATTATTCTCGTTTTCCAAAACACCCCCCACTTCTGGGGGTCCCATCTTCTGCATGAAGCCTCCTCTGATATTACCCCTCCCATAGCCACTACGACATCTAATCCTTATGCTGTCCTTGGCTCTGACGTCCGACTACAACTCATTCTGTAGCTCACATCTTCGCGTCCTGCCTCACAAGCCCCAGTAACGAAAAGACCTCGTACGACACCTAAAAACCAATCGCCCCTCCTACTCAGTAAGTCCAAAAAATCCACATTGCTCAAATTTCTTGCCCTTCCTTTCCTTCGTCCACCTCCACACTTTACCTTTCCTAGACTCTGTACCTATTCTTCTTCCCCTCTCTCTGCTTTATTACAAGTGAGGAGATTCAACCCCCTCCGTCGATACATGCCTCCACCCCCGTCCCCTCCCAATTTCTCCCTCTTCTGCCACTCCCAGTTTTCTGCCTCTTCTGTCCCCCCCACGACTTCAACTCCAGTCCCTTACAACTCTTTCCCCTCTCCCACCCTCTACTTAGGTACAGAGTCCATTACTGTCCCAATCTTTTCTTATACTCACCCTCCTCCTTCTTCTATCTCCCAATATGGTCTCCCCATACATCTTTGAATTCAGAAACACTTATGAAGCCATTTACAGAATAGTATTGCAGAGACTAAACCTTCAATGGACACTGATTCACTTCCTGATTCGCTTCCTCATCTCTTCCTCTCCTCCATCTC